GTTATTTTTTCTTTTAGTTACTTCTCTTAGTTACTTCTCTTAGTTATTTCTTTTAGTTACTTCTCTTAGTTACTTCTCTTAGTTATTTCTTTTAGTTACTTCTCTTACTTACTTCTCTTAATCTAATTTCTAATACAACGAGAATCAGTCTTTGAATGGGCCACATTAACTGATTTTGATAAGAATCTGTAAAAAATATTTCGATTCCTTTCCGTATAGGAATCCTTCTTAGGCTAAAAGACAACGTGCTGATTGGTTCAGACAGAATGTGACTCTTTGACGTGGACCAATACGAAGCCACCGTCACCTTCTAAAGGCCACAACCTAAGAGATGAAGCTAATTTAGAGTCTGTTTTATATTTTCCTAGTCATTTAATGGTACGTACATACATACTGATGTGTGTGTGTGTGTGTGTGTGTGTGTGTGTGTGTGTGTGTGCACATGCTCCATCATAAATTCTTCATAAGGCCAGGACAGATCAGAGGCGATGAACAGGACATCAATTCCTGTTAATTCCCCGTTTGTGTCAGAGCAGCAGATGTCGACAGCGGTGATAATGTTCTGCCGAGACGCCATGTTGGACAAACGAGTGAATGGAGGGGGAGAGAGGGGAGAGAGAGGGAAGAGACATGAGCTCTTAATGTACAATCATGTCTGTGACGGCAGAAGAAACAAGATTAAAACCAGAGACAATAAATGAAATCCTTACAGGTAGAAATAAAGGAATGAAGAGAGGAAATACACAAAGATGAGTTCAGAAATACTGACAACTATCTTAGAAATGTATGAATGATGGAACAGTGCCATCATTATAGCCCGAAGATAGCTTAAACAGCTAAAAGTTAGCCAGTGACAGCCCAGAGAAGAGTTGAGATAACAAAAATAAAACTAACTAGGTCTGAGATCAGCTAAAGGTACAGTACCTACGAGTTAGCTGAAACCATGTCAATGTTGCAACAAAGTTAGCCACAGATACACTAATCTCTGGCTACAAGCTAGTGTTAAGAGGATAAAATTATATTTTTTAGTTAGCCACAAATGAGCGTCAACGCCAGACTACGTGTTGTTTTGAGGTTAGCCTGAAAAAATCCCTCATGGGTGTCTGTAAGTTAGCTCCACAACAGCTAAATGTTACTGCAGCCTGGCCATCACTGAGGAATTTAGAGTTTGAACTAATGATCTGAATGTAGTTGTTTTAGGGCTGTCTAACTGGGATGAAACCTGTGGAAGAAAACGCTAGCGGTAGCCAAAGGAGAGCTAAGGGTTAGCTTCATGAAAACCATTGTACATGAGTCATCGCAAGTTTGGAAAAAAGGATGAAGACGATGACTTGGATGATGATGACAAAACAGCAGAGACATTAGAGAGTGATGATTACCCAGAATCCCTCTGTTCTGTCTGTATCCAGAGTCCAAACATTTGTTTGTTTGTTTCTCAGTGATACAAGTTTAATCAGAGTCTGGTCACTCTGCTGGAAACACACACATATGTTAACGTACACACTCCTCAACCTGCGTCTGTGTGTGTGTGTGTGTGTGTCATCAGTGTTTACAAAGGGAACGTACACACACAGATGGCATTTGATCCGTCTGAGATATCCATGTTTTGTGTGATTGAGCGACGGAGCGTCAGCGTTCCTTTCTTCTGAGGAACAAAGTCACATGGTCACGTTCCTGCTGCCAGCTGTCAGCGTCGCCGCGGTGCTGGAATTAATCAACACGCCTGGATAAAGACAAACAACTGCTGCCGACGTGCCCATCAGCACAGCCCGAGACGGCGCTCCAACTAAACTAACTTTGAAGAATTCAAAACATTGGAGTTGCTTCAGGTGTTCGTGCTCCGGAGGGAGACGTGGGATCTTCTTCTGAAGGACCACGGATGGCTGGGAGTCGGAGCGTCGACACGAACGGACATCAAACCAACGACAGATAAAAACGCACAGAGAGAGCGCACGGTGGAATGTATCTGGAGCTAACGCCTCCAGAAAACTGACGAGTCTCACTCACATCTCGTCCATTGTCCACTGAAAATATTTCTTCAACCGTGCGACGGTATATGAGGAAAACTAAACAACAGCAAACTTGGAGACATCATTATCTCAGGTGTGTGTGTGTGTGTGTGTGTGTGTGTGTGTGTGTGTGTTCCTACCTCCAGCTGTGACCAGGTGTGCGTCAGGTTGTGGATCTTGCTGTGGAAGTCCGTGGGCAGCTGGATGCTGCTCCTCTTCAGGGACTCGGCTCGGCCCAGGACGTTGGTCTTCCTGCTCTCCATCATCATCAGCTCAGTGTGGCTGCTCTGGAGACACAGGAGGACAAGACACAGGACATCAGTGATGAAGGTTAGCCAGAGCACGGGTTAAAGCAGCTAAATGACATCTGACGACCAGCTACAACAAACAAAATGTTGTTAATTGTAGTCTTTAATGTCACTGTAACACAGAGATACAACTGAATGTGACCTCTGTTTTGAACCACAGTGAACAGTGGGCAGCAGTGAGTGGGGACGGTGCCATGATCAGAGGACCTGAGTGGCAGCTGGTGGACTCAAACCTGAAACCTTCCAGACCCTTAACCACTAAGACTCCACTGCCCCTAAATTGCTTTTACACTACAGATGGTTTAGGAAACAACAGTTAGGATTTCACACAGCAGACCATCCATCCATCCATCCATCCATCCATTTTCGTCCGCTTACCCGTTACCGGGTCGCGGGGGCAGCAGTCTCTATGACCACCACTCAAATCACACTGCACCGCACCAAACCCCCCTGAACCTTCCTGGTGGTGAGTCCACTGCACTGGTACCAACCACTGTGACCGGGATTCGATCTTGCCCAGGAGGTGAACCCACCAGCTGGCACACAATGCCACTGGGCCAAAGCGCCACACACAGCAGACCAATCAAAGAATCCATCCAGGGTTTAATAATAGTCACCTTTGAGGACCTGTGGTCCAGCTCTACATCTTCTACACGTGTGTGGCAGATCTTCCACTCAGTCAGCTGACTTTTCTCTTCAACGTCTGTTTGAGCAGAAGTTGATCTGCAGTCGTCCCCTGATACTGAGCGCTGGAGGAACTCACCGGAGTTTTTTTGTCACTTTTCCTCTCTGTGCTTTGACCACATTAAACACTGTCGCTCTGCTGCTGCTGCTGCTGCTGCTGCTGCACACACTCACAGGTATCAAACAGCAGCAGCATTTGACAGCACTGTGAAGAACCTTTTATATGAACTTTTTTTATGCTGTAAGAAACTGTCAGCCGTATATTTTTCTCCCTCCAGATTCCTGCCTTTGTATAAACGCTGTCGTCCCAAAACGGAGAAAAAAAAACTGACAGTGTTTAAGAAAATGTAGGGGAAGATTTTTACATCGTTGATGCCACTGCTGATCTAGTCACAGTCAGCTACGACAAACGAGCCACTGTGGGGTCCATTTTCAATCTGTTTGAAGCAGTCTTACCCAACCACAGGTGCGCAGACCCCTCCCCCCACCCCCCCCCCCACCCCTTCGCACCACCTCGACACACAAGCACACAGGAAGTGAACTGCACCAAAACTCCCGAGACCAAAAGTCCTGCTGGGAAAACTGAACTAGTAGGTGAGTCAGATCAGGTTGTTGGTTCAAAACCCTCCGACTCTTCTCCTTACTTCTGTCTCCACTCTCCTTCATCTTCCTTTCTCCATCCTTGTCTCCTCACTGACAGCCTCCTTCTGATTCTCTCTATCTACACATTCTTTACTGTAACTCCTCCTCCTCCTCCTCCTCCTCTTACTCCCTTAATTCATCCATCTTTATTTCCATCACTTTCCATCTTCTTCCTCCTTTTCATTTGTTAGTGTAACTCTCCTTTTATGCCTCCTTCTTTTTTTTGCCTAATTTCCCTCCTCCTCCTCCTCCTCCTCCTTTTCCCCCTCTTTCTCCTCTTTTCATTTTCTGCATCGATAGCTACTTGATTCTACTTTTCCCTTGTCGTTTATCATTACAGGCTCGGCCCACATTTGAATATTTAAATGTCTGCCTCCGACTCCGTGTGTGCGTGCGCGCGCGTGTGTTTTTGCTGCGCTGTCATCAGAGAGACGCGGCGGCCATTTTTCACTGTCGTCCCGTTCTGATGGAGATGCTATCACGGGGCGCTTCACTGCCATCCATCCCCTTCACTTAACTAATAGCCACGCTGTCGGAACGAGGGATGGACAGCAGAGAAAAGAGGAGTGGAAGGTAAATATGTCGGCGTCGCACTCGTCTAACGGTCGGGAAATGATATGATTTATTCACTGATAGCAAATATTGATTTAAAAACAGGGGAGACACGCAGTGGCAGTGGGAGTCACAGGGGAGGAGCAGGAGGACAAGGAGGTGGTGGGTTGTTTTGTTGTTGATGTTGTTGTTTGTTTGAAGGATGCCACTGATCCAAAGTCAAAGAAAAGAGGAGGGAGAACAGACGACAGACACGGCCATTAAAATGCATGAGATCCCAACTTTCAGATAAGTGCTGAGAGAGGGATCCTGGGGGGAGAGGGTGAGGAGGTGGGAGAGGAGGTGATACATGGATGGCTAGTTGTGATGTATTCAAGCCTCAAGTCAATCTACATGCAAGGATGGAGAGCTATACAGGCCTGAGGACGAGAGACACAGAGAGAGAGGGAGAGAGAGAGAGAGAGAAAGGAAGCAGTCAAGGATGGACAGGAGAAAAGTTACTCAGGTGACACCACACACACACACACACACACACACACACACACACACACACACACACACACAGGTGTGAGCCCAGACATCCCAGAATATCTGCCTTAGAAGAAGAACAGGAGGAAGGAGAAAAGGTGTGAGAACAGAGAGAGAAGGACGACAGAGAGGAAAAGGACAATAAATAAAAGAGGAGAGGGTACAGGGAGGAGACAAACGGTGAGGAGAGGGACACCACGAGGGACAAAAGGAAAAGTGCTTAGGGAGATAAAAAAAAAAGAAAGAAGTGGGGAGAGATGGGAGAGGAGAAGAGGAAGATGATGAAGATGAAGAAAAGAGGCCAGGAAGTGGAAAGTTTACAAAAAAGAAAGGAAGAAAGGTGAGCAGATGGAAAAGGACATAATGACAGAGAATGAATGAACTGTCAACAAGAGTCAACGATCAGCTATTAATTATCTATCTGTTAATAATAACAACGTGGGTTTGGCCTCATGTGAAAACACTGGAGAAATGACTGGTTTTCTTCATTATTGATATATAAATAGAGTTTTAATAAATAAAGCTCTGAGTCCAGACCAGCAGAGAAAATACTGCCGTTTCCCCTAAAACAGAAGGAAACGAGGAATGAACGCTTGACGACACAGATGAGAGGAAGAGAGGAGGAAGAGGAGGAGAAAATCAACAAGCAATCATAAGTTTAATTTAGTCTCCATATTAATGAGCAGCCAGCTGAAATGTCAGCAAAAATGCAGTCATACATGAAAAACATTTAATGCATTTTGAGCATTAGCTGCTGCTGAGGCTGCTGCTGCGGCTGCTGCTGCTGCTGCTGCTGCTGCTGGGGGGGGGGGTG